TTAGACTATATTGACGAACGACGGATAAGCCCCTACATTTAATAGCAATTAATGAGTCTAAAATTGATGACACAGTTTTAGATAGGGAAATCCATATCATTGGATATAATATGATCCGAAAAGATCGTAATAGAAATGGAGGCGGAGTGATAATCTACCTTCGAGATACTAATTCATTGGAAATGATATACCTAGAGATTAAAAAACCACATAACAAGTCATTTCTAGTATGTGCCTGGTATAGACCGCCAAATTCCAATACCATTTTATTTACTGATTTTGAGGCATTCCTTAGTAAATATTATCTTGAAAACTATGAGCTATTAATAATGGGAGATTTAAACTGCGATATTTCTAAGACCCCCCAGGACCCTAATACACGCAAATTGTTATTTTCATTCTCGTGTACCAATTTGATCAGTTAATTAACGAACCAACAAGGGTCACAAGAACGTCGGCTACCATGACCGATTTGTTTTTTACAAATAAACCAGAAAACATTTTACAATCTGGTGTGCACATTTTACAATACGGGCCACTTCTCTCCCCTGGATAACACAGAAAATAAAAAAGCTAATGAGACTTAGGGATTTCCATAAAAAGCGAGCTGTGAAATATAATTCCCAAATTGATTGGAGTAAGTACAAAGAAACTCGAAATAAAGTACACTTAGAATTGCGTTTGGCAAAAAAAGATTATTTCTATGATAAAATTAAATTAAGTGCTCAGCCTAATGATGTGGGGAAAAGTTGGTCATTAATTAACAGCCTTATTGGTAAGACCTCGAAAGATAATAACATTACGGAACTCTGTGTCGATGATTCTTCCACTTCAGATGATTGTGTAATTGCGGAAACTTTTAATGAGTTTTTTGTCTCCATTGGTTCAAAATTAGCTTCTGAGTCCTGCAGTGACTCGATGCATGCGACAAAGACTAATAATACCCCACGCTCGAGCACAATTTTTAAGTTTTCTGAAATAGGAGTGGAAGAGGTCACTGCTGATGGGTTGCGTAATCTTAAAATATCAAACGCAACTGGCATCGATATGATACCTTCTCGTGCTCTCAAGATAGCTGCAGATATTATTGCACCATCAATAACTTGGATTTTTAATCTGTCTTTAAAAGCCGGAATTTTTGTTGACGCATGGAAAAAGGCTTGCGTATTACCAATTTACAAATCCGGCGATAGACAATTATGCGAAAACTATCGGCCAATTTCGATCTTGCCTGTCATAAGTAAGATACTAGAAATAGAGAGATCTGTTTTTGATCAATTATACAAATTTCTTAATGACAACTCCCTTTTATCAAAATATCAATCCGGTTTTCGGCCAAAGAACTCAGAGAATTCCTCAAAAATAGCTTTAAATTTAGCGGAGCGAAACTTTGGAATAGCCTCCCTTTGCAAGCAAAACTATAGCTCAGTCTGAATATACCTTTAAAATGAATATTAATAGTCTTGATACATAATTTACTTATTTCTTCGTTATCTTGTAAATATCTTGTAAATATTCTTGTAAATAACTTTATTTATTCAAGTGTGTTCCGACGCCTCTCATGGAAACCAGCTTGTTGCTGATGAGGCTAGCGTCGTTTTTTTTTCCTTTTCGCTTTTAAATAAAAGTTTACATACATACATACATACATACACAAGCCACAAGGTTTATGAATTATTAATTAATGAGTATTTTAAATGTTTACACAAGCTCGTATACAAGAATACCAAATTTATTTTAATTTTTTAACAAGGTAAGTTTTGTACTATTTTGATTTTCGTGTTTATAATTATACAAGTAAAACTGATTTCTTATGATATATTTACACTACTTATCAATAGATCTAATGATTCGCCTGTGTGTAATAAAATATCCCTAGAGATATCACGCTATTGAAGGCCGAAACGTAAACTTCACCATAATGGACTTTGTGCCTCAATGGTTCAAATACAAATCAATACATTCTAACAATACATTCTAATTAATACATTCCAATTAATACATTCTAACAATATTTATTTAGCGTTTTGATATACCAAACAAGATACGAATAATTCGCAATGTATAAAACGAGGTATGAATATATTATAAGAAATCAGTTTTACTTGTATAATTACAAACTGTTAAAGAATTAAGAGAGGATGTCCACAAAAATCAAACATAAGGCGGCCACGACGGAAAAATCGATTTTGCTCAAATTTTGCCCAGATATACCTTATTATATCGGAAAATGCACCATATATATTTTTAGGTCAAATGCTTTTTAACTTTGAGAAAATGCCGTTTTAACACGACCACCCTAAATCGCCATTTTGTCTGGGAAAATATGCGCTGATTTTACCGACAAATTTCACGACGACAACCGTTTCTAATCGATCTAAAACCCTCAAAATCTTGTTTTCGGTTATTCAAAGGACCGGGTACGTGACTTACAGGAAATCTGAGTTACTTTTAGGAATAGAAATAATCGTAGTTTTGGAGCACACTATCTTACTTCATTTACGATACCCTCTTAACAAAACCGATTTTCACTATGGGATAAAGCTCCAAATCGATCATGCTTCTACTAGTTGACTCTTTAATAAACAAGCTTTCAATTGACGTAAATACTTCTTTGGGCAAATGAATACGCGATAAACGACAGCGCGCTGAAATCGTCCGTTTTTGACGTCTTGCAAGCAAACGCTGTTAATTTACATACCGTCGAAGTAAACAATTTAATCAAGTATCCTAGTATTTTACCTTTTGAGAAGAAGATATATTCTTGAATGAAGACTTTTTGCCTTGCTAAGTTTAAAATTGGTCCAAAAATCTTGATATATTTGTAAAATATCATCATATACAGGTATTTTGTACGGTGGCCCAGACGCGACATCATGAAATACATTTTGCATTTCCATGTTTCCGCATTTTCAACTTTTGCATTTCCATGTTTTCGCATTTTCAACTTTTGCATTTCCATGTTTTCGCATTTTCAACTTTTGCATTTCCATGTTTTCGTATTTTCGCATTTTCGTATTTTCGTGTTTTCGTATTTTCGTATTTTCGTATTTTCATATTTTCGTATTTTCAACTTTTGCATTTCCATGTTTTCGTATTTTCGTATTTTCATATTTTCGTATTTTCGTGTTTTTATATTTTGTATACTTTCGTAACTTTCATACAATATTTTTAATTTATAAAGTTATTCGCTGTTATAGTTTATATTGGCACCGACTGTACATTATTTAGACAATATAGTACAGATAATACAGCGACTTTATTCGAAGTCGACTTGGTTATAAACTATATATTTTCCTCGCTCTATTCCGCTCCTCAATTATTTCGAAGTTATTTGTTTACATGTTAATTAACTTGTTAAATTATATCGTGGTGCAGTTTAAAGGCTGCAACGATCACGACGAGACAACTGTGTCAACTGTATTTAAGTCAAACCGGATGTTCTCTTGCGAGCAACATTGCTATTGTCCTACAATATTGCAATTTTGATAGGGAGATTGTACATTATATAGACAGTATAATATACTACAGATACAGAGACTTTATTCTAAGTCGACTTGGTTATAAACTATATATATTTTCCTCGCTCTATCCCGCTCCTCAATTCTTTTAAAGTTATTTGTTTACATGTTAATTAACTTGTTAAATTATATTGTAAATAATTTTGAAACAAGTGATAGCGATATTACATTTATTAAACGACGGTTTCGTTGCTACAGCGTGCATTATTTTCAAGTTATGTATAGTAATTACATTTATATTGCGTCGTTTAATAAATGTAATATCGCTATCATTTGTTTCAAAATTATTTTGAAAAAGGTTTTTGATTAAATTATATTGTGGTGCAGTTTAAGGGCTGCAACGATCACGACGAGACTACTGTGTCTACTTGGTGTACTGTATTTAACTCAAACCGGATGATCTCTTGCAAGCAATTAACATTGCAATATTGTCCTACAATATTGCAATTTTGATAGGGAGATTGTTCTGATCAGTTTGCAAGCCGATGCGAACAAATAGGCCGTGGGCTTTGTTAGCCAAAATCACTTCGCTTCGTGCCACCCATGTCATGTAGGAAGTACTTGATTTGTGATTTATATATTTGAAAGGAATTATAGGTACATTACTACCAAAAAAGTTCCCAAGCAAGGCTTGTCCATTGCCGAGAAAATGAGTGATCAATGATTATCCTCAATTAAATTCATATTACAGCATACACATTAGAAATTTTGTATTAAATTACAATAAAAATGACATGTATAATTGGGCACGTTGTTTTGTTTTGTTTTGTTTTGTTTTGTTTGTTTTTTTTTGGTTGGGAACTTTTGTTTGGTAATTGAACATCTATGGTACTACGCATTGAACCACATAAAATCTATTCTCCAGGGGGGTTGCCTTTTGTCGTACAACAGCCCACGGCCACAGAATAAATATCCACACAGAAGGGCCATATACGTCGGAAGCTTTGAAGTTTCCGTGGCGGTGGCCGCCATCTCATAGCTATAGTCGATTACATTTTCTGGCCAATAAACGCGCTGTATTGGCTTGATGCCCTGCCTTCTGGGTGATCGCTAGATAGTATACTTCAAAATAAGGTTTCCGTTTTTATAACGTAGAAAAAACTATCCTAACGCAAAACTGAACCCTAATACTAAACCTTACCCTAACCCCAACCTAACCTTAACCTAACCCTAACTTATTTTAAAAATTGATATAAAAATGGAAATCTTATTTTAAAGTATACTATCTAGCAAAAATATTTGCATAAAAAATGGCTACACCTTGCACCGTTGAGTGGCCTTTCTGGTACTGATCTGTATTTTGTGTCACGGCTAAAAATTGCAAGTTGAAATTGACAATGAAATTGACAAAACGGCATCGGTCGCCATTTTGAAAATCACTTAGGTGATTATCGCGTAATAGTCACCTCAACGGCAACCAATCAGCGTGGAGAATTTTCAATAATGACGTATGTAATTATACTAATACTGATTAATGCGAAAATGTAAAAGTTGAAAATGCAAAAGTTGAAAATGCAAAAGTTGTAAATGCAAAAGTTGAAAATGTAAAAGTTGAAAATGCAAAAATTGAAAATGCAAAAGTTGAAAATGTAAAAGTTGAAAATGTAAAAGTTGAAAATGTAAAAGTTGAAAATGTGAAAGTTGAAAACGTAAAAGTTGAAATTGTAAAAGTTGAAAATGTAAAAGTTGAAAATGTAAAAGTTGAAAATGCGAAAGTTGAAAATGTAAAAGTTGAAAATGCAAAAGTTGAAAATGCAAAAGTTGAAAATGTAAAAGTTGAAAATGCAAAAGTTGAAAATGTAAAAGTTGAAAATGCAAAAGTTGAAAATGTAAAAGTTGAAAATGCAAAAGTTGAAAATGCAAAAGTTGAAAATGCAAAAGTTGAAAATGTAAAAGTTGAAAATGTAAAAGTTGAAAATATAAAAGTTGAAAATGTAAAAGTTGGAAGTGCCGGAACTACGGGGGCAGCTGCCTGGGCGGAAGGGGGGGGGGGACAGCATGTTGCATTTTTTACAAGAACTACAATCGTAAATTTCGTGCGTTATTCAAATGATAGAGATCGAGAACTGTTTTCGCTAAGCCCAAATTAGCTCAAATTTAAATCCGACGTTCTTCTCAGAAACGTTAAAGGGGTTTACAACTTTATCAGAAAAATTGTCAAAACGAAAGCCTACTTAAATAATGAACAAGTTCTCATGTTGTTTTACGATGTGTTTTACTCTTTACCGCCATGCTACGCATGCAAATCAGTATCATTGTTCCAATCAATTCCGAAATTTCTGTAACCATATTGCTACAGTAATCAAGCATCCATTCAGCAAAATTTGTAACAAACATTGCCGCGCAGAAATAAGGCCCAGAAATAAGTGCCCTTTGTCAATGGCCGCATACGTTGCTAAGCTACAACTGTTTTTATAGTGGGTATATTCCCATTCCTATTTTTGTGTCTGTCATTCCCACTTCCATTAACCCAAACGTATGCAAATCTTATATTTTAGCCCATTCGGGGCCTCTAAGAAAGTCTTTTACTTTGTTGTATTTCGAGAGTACGTGCAGTGTATGCATAGCCTGCGCAAGTTTTCTCTAGTTTCCATAGGTGCTTCAATTGAATGATAATCAGGAAGAGAGCTAAATCCTACTGACTCCTTTCAATAGTCCAATTTGGAAGCAGGGACTAAGCATTCGTAGGGTTGCCAGGACGTCAAGAGGGAAACGGGCACATTTTAATTGATATATATTCAGGAAGATTGCAAAACATCTGTAGGGTGTATAAGGATTTTATCGAATTGCAAATGTGAAACGTTCGCACTTCGATCCTCTTCAGTGCTCTCTCAAATTGTCCATGCATGCATGCAGTGGCTTTGACCGATATTAATTTCAATCTCTCTTTTTAAATCGGTTTGTGCTAGCTCTTTCAACATGCCTTCCTGTTGTACAGCTGGCAGTATTATAATAGTTTATCGTTGCTTTGCTCGATGTACTTTGCCAAATTATCGCATTGGGCCAGATCAACACGATCTTTCCGCACATAGCAACCCTCTTCCACCTCTTAATTTACTAATATATATCCTATCTTATATCTACTTGTTGATGCAATGTCCCATACACTGTGAGCAACTTCCGGATCTCTTGCATTGAGCATTTACAACATTTCCTCCTGATAGTTTGGATTTCAGGATTTTTCTCACTCCTTTATAATATTCAGTCTTTATATTATCTTTCATTTAATCATGCTTTATTACATGCATCTGTTTTTAGTATACACACTCACATTCAATACTTTCAGACATTTTAGAATCTAGCTTGACGAGTGTGTGATTTCTAAATTGGTATTTCTTCTGATGCCATTTCTTATTACAGTTTTATCAATAAGCAGTCCTTGGTTCCCTTGGATTTTTTCTTGCAGCCATTCTGTTCTGGTGGTAACAGACTTAATCTCTCAAAGATTCTGGATTGCCATGAATATTGCAAAATTTATATATCTATTTGGAAATAAAAATGTCTCACAGAAAATGACCACATATGCATGCATTCATATACAGTACTCGGGAAAAATCTAATTTTTCCGTATCATCGAAGTAATGAGTTTGTATATCCAGAAAGTTGAATCCTATATTTAGGTTCTTTTCAGTTCGATGTTTTCATACCGGTTTTGAGGCTTTTGCTGTTTTATGTTCGCAACTCTTCTTATGCCATGCATTTGCATGGAGACTCTTCACCCTTTTTCTGTATTTTATCACTAATTAATTCTAATGCGACTCTAACACTAATTTCGATTGGTTAATATAGCCTTCCGTTTTATCTGATTTCGTTAATTTGTTTTTCTAGCCCTTATTTCGACAGCGGTTATTTATTTTCGTAACCTAGCTCTTTCTACTGCTTTACTGCACAATGATCTTCCAACAACAACTGTAGCAGTGCTGCTTATATTAGATTGTTTGTTTCTGTAACATTAAATGTTCGGATATATAGTCCAAGGTATTGTGTATCTCCTGAGTCTTAAGCTTTACTTTCCGGCGGTTCATTCTACGCAAGTTGTATATGGTTTCAAGCTTCTCTGTTCCATTTCTTTCAATCACTATTTCCAGTGCCAGATTGATATAACTGTCGCCCGACCCATCCATCCATTCTTAATTCAACGTTAACCGATTCTGCAACACTAATGCCGTTACAGGTCTGTTGTTCATTTGATAAGTTGTTTTCTCATTAAGTTGTGTGTTTTTTTGTGGCATGGTTTCGGCTGTACATGCATGATCTTCTGTCTCATCATTGCCATGTTCAATTTTTCTTTTTAATTCTTCTATTTCGTGATTGGAGAGGCAGTTGTTAACTTTAATTGCCTGTACTTAGTCTTTGTTCACTGCACCCAAATACCAGATCGTTTCTCCAAATTTCTCCAAACATGTAGTAACATTCGTTTTCTGTATCCTTTTGTTTGTCACTTTCTTTATTTCCAAGCCGCGTAAGCAGAAAATTAATAATTTCCGTCCTCAATCGGACCTGACCATGTAACTCAGTCTGGTAAAGCGTCGAGCTGGTATTTCGAAGGTCGCGGGTTAGGAAACCAGTTTCGGAAGAATGCGCGTTTTGAAAATTATGAAATAATTCACTCAAGAACACTTCATCTTCGGTGTCAAAAAGCATTTTTCAAGCATGTTCATACTGCATGTAAAACGATCAGGAAAATAAATCATTTTGATCAGTTTACCTTGTCCTATAAAGGCGGGGAAGTGTCCTAGGGGTGTTGAAAAACAATACAAATATGAAAGTTTTACAATTATGAAAGTAATACAAACGTTCTACCTCTTGTTGTTTGTGTTTAAAATTTATTTTCTTCATAATCATGCACGAGGCAGACATTCGCTTGAAACTAAGATTAGAATTGAATGATGTAGATATATGTCTGGGTGCATGGGGCTATATACTTATTATTAATAGCTGTTATCGTAATTGAATACGCGGCTGCGGAATACCAGTGGTATCTCAGTGGAAGTACGCACGAAAACGAGGCTAAAGGGTAAAAAAACAGAAAACATGACCCTATTGCCTCGTCTCAATGTTAAAATAATGCAGAAACCGCTGGTGTGTAGCATAGACGTATTCAATTACGATAACAGCTATTAATATGAGATTCATAATGGGCAGGGATAGGTTTAATAATGGTTTAATAATGGTTTAATAATGGATTTGATTTGTTGCTAAATACATTACTTTAACTTAACTACACAAAAATAATAAATATATAAACATTGAAATCACGATTAATATATTAGCAACAAGGAAGCCTAAAATGAAACCAGCAGACTTATTTAAATTTAGGCTCTCTTTGGGCACGCATGCACTTGGGGTAATGAAGTAACTTTTCTTTTATTTACATATAATATTAATAGTTTGGCAGACAATAGTACATGATCATCATATCAATAGCTCTATATAACTAATTATAATATAACACTCAACAGTATTTACAGTTACGAGAGGGTGATGATTTTCAATATTTAAAGAAAAAGGACTTTCAGTTTTCTTTTAAATGAAATCAATTAAGTATAATTAACTAATTCTAATGGAAGAGAATTAAAAAGTTTTGGGCCCTGGAATCTTACACAAAACTGTTTTATATTTGTTCTACATAATGGCACATGGAAAGCTTTCGAATATCTAGTGTCATAAGTATGGACTTGATTATTTAAAACAAAAATACTGTTAAAACTTTTCGGCAAAAGAGAATTTTTGTGACAATACATAAATTTCATAAATTGACCTAATTGCAGCAAACGAATGTCTTCGAATTTCAATATGTTTAGCTTTTTAAAGAGCGGGTCAGTATAAGCATGAAATTCGCTCTTGTTTAAAATTATAATAGCTCGTTTTTGCAGCAACACGATACGGCACAGGTTGGACGAGTATGTCGAAGCCCAGACGAAGTTACAGTATTCAAGATATGGATAAATGATTGAATAGTATAAAATGCGTAAAGAGATATCAAATAAATGAAAATTTGACCTAAAAATTATTCCTATTGAATTTGATATTTTATTTGCTACATGAGAGATATGTGACTTCCAAGACTCACAGTTTTTCATCCAACATTACTCCTAAAAAAACTGTCTCATTTACCTGTTCAATACTGCAATTGTTAAGTGCAACTGAACATCTGGGTGATGTGTTTTCTGTCTTGGTTTAAATATCATTAATTTTGTTTTCGTTAAATTTAAGGAAAGTTTGTTTACAGTAAACCAATCGGACAGTCCTCTTAATTCTCTGTTCAAAACATTGTTCAAGTAATTTAAGTCTTTATGTAAAAAAAAATATGCTCGTATCGTCGGCAAATAGGATTATGTCTACGAGTTTTGATACATTAGCAATATCATTAATATATAATAGAAGGTATAAAGGACCAAGTATCGAACCCTGAGGTACTCCACAGGTTATATTTTTTGAAGCAGAGAAACAATCATTAAATTGAACAAATTGAAGTCTATTGGAAAAGTAACTTTTTACCCACTCGAAAGGTAAACCACGAATTCTGCAATGTTTTAGCTATAGTTTATCAAAAAGAATGCTGTGGTTTACTGTATCGAAGGCTTTCGATAAATCTAGAAAAATCCCAACCGCAATTTCTTTTTGATCAATGGCAGTTGAAATCTTATCATACAAATCTACTAAAGCAAGAGAAGTTGAATGATTTTTTTCGAAAACCATACTGCTTATCAGATAATATATTGTATTTATTAAAGTATTCCAAAAAACGGTTATAGACAATTCTTTCTATGAATTTGGGAAACTAGGAAGTATAGAAACTGGTCTGCATTTTGTGAAAACATCTCGATCTTCAGCTTTGAAAAGAGGAATTACCCGAGCAATTTTTATCTCATCGGGTACAATGCCATGAGTTATGGACAGATTAATAATGTGAGTCAGTGGTTAAGAAATTGCATTTATTGATTGTTTTATTATCGACATAGGAATTTTATCAAAACCTACAGCTTTTTCTGACTGAAAGCTGGAAGCTATGTCCAGGATCTCGGATTCAGTTGCTAACTTAAGGAAAATTGAATTTGGAAAATTTCCGGATAAAAAAGTTTGATGAGAATTAGGAGAAGTTGGGATTTTTTTAGCCAGGTTAGGGCCAATGTTAGTAAAGTAATCACAGAATCTTTTTTTTCTGTGATGGTGTAGCGTACTCAGGTGAATATGATATTTGTGCTGTTACTCTGAGTGTATATCCACACCGGGCGAGCTTGAAAAATATGTCCGGCCACGGTGGGATTCGAAACCTACGACCTTTGGAATACTAGCCCAATGCTCTTTCAACTAAGCTACGCGGTCAGGACGGTTCGAGTATGTGATTGGTATCGAAGGAACTAGATTCTGTTCCGAAATATCACTTACTCGAACCGTCCTGACCGCGTAGCTCAGTTGAAAGAGCATTGGGCTAGTATTCCAAAGGTCGTAGGTTCGAATCCCACCGTGGCCGGGCATATTTTTCAAGCTCGCCCGGTGTGGATATACACTCAGAGTAACACCACAAAAATCACAAAATCTATTAGCAATTTCAACAGGGTCAGATATTTCTGTATGGTTGTCAACTTTAAACGAAGATGGAAATTTAAGTCTTAGATTTCTTTTTGTTAATGACCTCATTAAGAATTCGCCAAGTTGCCTTTGTATCAGATTTTAAACGCTCTAGTTTCTTTGTGTAATGCAAAGATTTAGCAATTCTTACAGAGTGATTCAGTTTATTTTTATATCTCTTGTAGGTCATTTCATGTTCAAGTGTAGGATTGGACAAGTATTTTTTGTATAATCTGTTTTTCATTTTCACGGATTTTAAGAGACCTTTTGACAACCATGGTTTACTGATTGAACTTTTGTTAGACTTTACTTTTCTCAGAGGAAAACTTAAGTTATAAATTTCAGTATATTTAGATAAAAAAGTTTTATATGATATATTTGGATCGTCATACCCATCCAACTGTGGCCAATTAACATTACCTAATTTTTCATTAAACTTCGCCACATTTTGTTTGTTTTTGTAACGAAAAATGATTACGTCATTAACATTTCGAGTATAAGTTTTGTCTTCAAAACAAATTGAAAAGACTGGAAGATGATCCGAAATGTCAGTGAACAATAAGCCACTTTTTAAACAATGAGATAATTGATTCGTGAATATATTATCAATAAAAGTGGCTGTATGAGACGTTATTCTGGTTGGACAGGTTATTAGAGGAATGAACATATTGGAGTACACTCCGTCCAAAAACTCGCCGGTTAAAAATGACAATGATGATCCATCAAGTTCAAATTAAAATCCCCCATTATATAGCAGGTTTTGTTCTCTTTAGAAATTTTTTCAATTAACTTTTTATATGCAAAAAAAAATCCCCAACACTTTGGTTGGGAGGTCTATAAATAACACTTATGACAATGTTTTTCCCTTGGGCCCTATGAATCTCAAGGAATAAAGAATCCGCTAATTCCTCGTTAACAAAACACAAATCAAAAAATTAAAAACGTAAACGTTCTCTGACTAAAATTTTATTTAAAAACGAGCTTTCGACTACCTAACTGTAGTCTTCGACGGTAAAGCGGAATGATTCCGCTTTACCCGTCGAAGACTATACAGTTAGGTAGTCGAAAGCTCGTTTTTTAAATAAAATTTTAGTCAGAGAACGTTTACGTTTTTAATTATGTCTAAACCTGGCAAAGCTATCTCCATAAAACACAAATCATCGCGCACTTTAGCTTCGAAATCGTCAGACATATACAAACCAACATCGCCTCCTGTTCTATTAGCTCGATGTTTATGGAAAAATTTAAAGCCGTTTATGTCTACTAAATGAGTAGAATCTTGTAACCAAGTCTCTGTTATACCAATAACAGAGAATTGTATATCTTAAAATGCCCAACAATTCAGTTAGTTTTTGAAAATTACGCACAAGACTACGAATATTTAAATGCAAAGTAGAAAATTGTGAGACACAATGGGTCTCCTTTTTGAACACATCATTAAATTGGCCTTCAGTAAAATAATCACAGTTTTTATTCAGATCAGCAAAAAAATACGAATCTGGATCGTAATCTCTTATTAGTTTACGTTGCTGGTTTGTATTAGAAAGTAAAGGATTATAACTCAAACTGACTAATCTATCATTACCGAAATTGATCGTGCCGTTTTGCATCTCAAACATTGCTAAGTTAAAACTATCATTATCTAGATCATAAAAGGGTAGTCCTCTGCTATCATCCAGTGGTGCAGCCATATTTTACCAATAATATAAAACTAATTTAATATTGCAAGAATAAAATTAGGATACTTAGCCAAATGAAGTTGACATGTTCGCTTTGAAATCATCAAGTTATTTAATCGAGGCAAACGAGAAGTATCGTCCTTCCTTAATTAAATAAGATTTACCATATTTTGTCCAAGCGTATTTAAACCGATATAGGATTTTCGAACTTGTCTTACTTGATAGTACAATTCTCTGGCTTTCGGCGTAAGGCTTTCGTTGACATATAACTTATTATCAGAACGTGCAAAACCGTGATCGGACGAACTACGATTTTTTAACTTTCCCTTCGATTCGTAGAGTTTATCTCTAATGCTTCGTGGCAAGCGATGGCTCGTCGAGATATCCGATGTCTTAACTTCAACTGCCATTAAATCTCCGATTTGCTTGAGCAGTTCGTCTGTATTTTCTTCCGGCGTCTCTGGTACTCCATGAAACTCTAAACAGTCTCTTCGAGAATATAGATTGATATTTTCTTGATCTTCTTCTAGTTTAGATATTCGATTCGCCATTTCTTTAGCCAAGATATTTAACTGGGCATTTTCATGCTTCAGATGGCTGTTTTCTTCTTTTAACAAGCTGAATGAATTTAATAGTTCGTCGAACTTATTGCTAATAAAATCTTGGCTTGATTGAATCGCTTTAAGTTCATCATGAGTAGCTTTATAGTGTTTAGAAACAGCGTTATCAAGCTCTTTCGTATGGGTCTTTACTCTTTATCCGTTTGTCTAGCATTTCTTCGAAAGCTGCGATCGAAAGTATGGTGTTCGATGTTGCAATCTCAGATATCTCGCTCTTTGCTTCTTCCGACGGTTGTTCTGCTGGCTTTTTCTTGGGAGGCATACTATAATCGGCAGATTTCTATCGCCTATAATACGTATCTATTCTCAGTGAGTCAATGTAATTTAGAATAATGATAATAATTCAACTTTTTCAGGAGCTCTATTAGGCACACCCGTCTGATATCTATGAGATTAAGAATCTCTTTTCCCACCCTAAGGGTATAAATAATGAATGATCCTTTATACCGATCTTGATATATTTTCATAATTAGTTCGTAATTCTTGAAAAGCGGCAGTAGAGAAGAAACTGGCTGTTTATACCTGCATTGTAAAAAATGCTTTGGTAAATAACGGACTTTGACTTGCTTCAAATACACCATGCGTGCTATACTGAATAGTGAGGTTTGTTTCGATTTCCTCTACCGCCACCTATTAAAGAAGAAGTACGCACATGCATATGATTGGTTAATCAGCTAAATTAAAGATCGACATCTGATTGGTTAATGGTCCCTTATAGTCGGTAGTGGAAGTTACATCTAAACACAATATTATTTGTAGTTGCATATTAATGTTTCGTAGTTATTGCAATGCATGTGTTGTTCATGCCATTGATATCGATCAGGGTTGTTTTGTATTTAATTAGATTTATTCTTAGGCTGTTTGGTACACGTCCCTTTTTGTACCGGCGATTTTTTGGGTTTCAGGCACTGGTACGCTGAACATGAATATCACGAACATTTGATCACGAACATGCGGAAAATACCTCGCCATGCAGGCCCTTTGATACCAATCAAAGAATGCAGCCCCTTTAATACCAATCAAAATGTGGTTCTAGACAATGTTACTTTGTCAGGATAGTTTGTAAAACATCGATGAGTGATTTGGAAGTGTTAGTGATTAGGCTGTGATATAATCTGGGAAAGGTTATAGATAACTTAAATAGTAGAAATATTGAGGAGTTCACTCGTATTGCTATCAGAATATGTCAAACGCATCTGATTGGTTAATGATCCCTTAATGGAAGCAGTCGGATATCATTTAAAAATTCTCATGCGCGTACTTCTTCTTTAATAGGTGACGGTAGAGGAAATCGAAACTAAACCTCATTATTCAGTATAGCACGCACGGTGTATTTGAAGCAGGTCAAATTCCGTTATTTACCAAAGCATGTTTTACGATGCAGGTATAAACAGCCAGTTTCTTCTCTACTGCAGCTTTTCAATAATTACGAACTAATTATGAAAATATATCAAGATCGGTATAAAGGACCATTCATTATTTATACCCTTAGGGTGGGAAGGGAGATTCTTAATCTCATGGAGTCATGGGACGTATCCCTGACCATTATGAAGCTCATATGAATTAATATTGAAACGAAAATTGATTAAAAGTATATAGCCCCATGCACCCAGACATATATCTACATGATTCAATTCTAATCTTAGTTTCAAGCGAATGTCTGCCTAGTGGATGATTAATTTTCTGCTTACGCGGCTTGGAAATAAAGAAAGTGACAAACAAAAGGATACAGAAAACGAATGTTACTACATGTTTGGAGAAATTTGGAGAAACGATCTGGTATTTGGGTGCAGTGAACAAAGACTAAGTACAGGCAATTAAAGTTAACAACTGCCTCTCCAATCACGAAATAGAAGAATTAAAAAGAAAAATTGAACATGGCAATGATGAGACAGAAGATCATGCATGTACAGCCGAAACCATGCCACAAAAAAACACACAACTTAATGAGAAAACAACTTATCAAATGAACAACAGACCTGTAACGGCATTAGTGTTGCAGAATCGGTTAACGTTGAATTAAGAATGGATGGATGGGTCGGGCGACAGTTATATCAATCTGGCACTGGAAATAGTGATTGAAAGAAATGGAACAGAGAAGCTTGAAACCATATACAACTTGCGTAGAATGAACCGCCGGAAAGTAAAGCTTAAGACTCAGGAGATACACAATACCTTGGACTATATATCCGAACATTTAATGTTACAGAAACAAACAATCTAATATAAGCAGCAAAGCTACAGTTGTTGTTGGAAGATCATTGTGCAGTAAAGCAGTAGAAAGAGCTAGGTTAATTACGAAAATAAATAACCGCTGTCGAAATAAGGGCTAGAAAAACAAATTAACGAAATCAGATAAAACGGAAGGCTATATTAACCAATCGAAATTAGTTTAGAGTCGCATTAGAATTAATTAGTGATAAAATACAGAAAAAGGGTGAAGAATCTCCATGCAAATGCATGGCATAAGAAGAGTTGCGAACATAAAACAGCAAAAGCCCCCAAACCGGTATGAAAACATCGAACTGAAAAGAACCTAAATATAGGATTCAACTTTCTGGATACAAACTCATTACTTCGATGATACGGAAAAATTAGATTTTTTCCGAGTACTGTATATGAATGCATGCATATGTGGTCATTTTCTGTGAGACATTTTTATTTCTAAATAGATATATAAATTTTGCAATATTCATGGCAATCCAGAATCTTTGAGAGATTAAGTCTGTTACCACCAGAACAGAATGGCTGCAAGAAAAAATCCAAGGGAACCAAGGACTGCTTATTGATAAAACTGTAATAAGAAATGGTATCAGAAGAAATACCAATTTAGAAATCACACACTCGTCAAGCTAGATTCTAAAATGTCTGAAAGTATTGAATGTGAGTGTGTATACTAGAAACAGATGCATGTAATAAAGCATGATTAAATGGAGGATAATATAAAGACTGAATAGTATAAAGGAGTGAGAAAAATCCTCAAATCCAAACTATCAGGAGGAAATGTTGTAAATGCTCAATGCAAGAGATCCAGAAGTTGCTCACAGTGTATGGGACATTGCATCAACAAGTAGATATAAGATA